CTGAAGAAAATGTATAACTGAGAAATAAATTTGGGTAAGAATTCAACAATAAGTGAATTGGGAAAATACACGTAGTTTGTATATTCTTATTCTTGCTTTTTTAAATAAATGTGAAAATGTTTCCAAATCAAAAGTTAAAAATACAAGTTTGGGGGAGAATGACTTCAAAGGAACACAGGGAACTCTTAGGGAGACAAATGTTCTAGACAGAAATGTTCTAGATCAGCACTTACACAGCTGCTCACAATTGACCAAACACATCAATTTGTACACTTACAATTGGTGACTTTTATTTTATGTAAAATACCTCAATGGGGTTTATATAAAAAGGAGGTGCAAAACATGAAAGTTCATTATTTCAGGAGGCTCCATAGGCACCAAAAGGCAAACAGAAGAAGGGGCCTTGCACTTGCCTCCTAACAGGCCTGCAGGAACCCCTGTGCTGTGGACGGGATTGGCCACCTGTGGGGTTGGTTTATTCTAGCCAGGATGGACATAAGCACAGATAAAGCCACACAACCCCCTTTCAGAAGCCTATTATGGAAAAAAAAAAGTAGTAATAACAAAACATTTCATATTAACATCTATTTTTATAATATTATATATTTTAATATATTATATAATATATAACATTTTTATAATATTTTATAGTACTCACTTAAATAGTCAAGATAAAACACAAAAACTCAATGCAGTCTTGCTCCCAAGAGGCCTTTCATATTATGCCAGATCCTGCAAGCATCATTTGCCATCCTCAGAGATTTCTCTGGTTTGGCAGAGAGAGTCTGGGCTCACCTCTCCCTTAAATGTGAATGGTTCAAGCCCCCATAGGTAGACAGTCCTTACCATCCTACATTCCTCATATTTGAGGCCCAGCTTGCAGGATCCCTCCTTCAGAGGCTCCCTATTCACACTCTGCATGTACCACCTCTTTAGCTCCATTAAGATTGTATGATCATCATCATCTTAGTTACTTATGAACTATCCACCTCTAACACAGTGGCTGGGAATGATTCCCTGAACTGGGCACCATACTCGCCAGGCTTGGCACTTTGGAAAATCTGTTGGATTAAACTAAGCTAAGATGAAGGAACATTGGCATATTTACCATTTCATCCCTCTTCTTTAAGGCTGGAAAATTCTTTCACTTTATCTACCAAGAAACCACAATATCTGTACCATTTTCTCTAGAGGATTTCATGACCAAGAATATAAGCTAGTTCTAAAATGGGATTTTTTTTTTTGTATCTAATCCAAATAAAATTTTCAGGGACCCAGACTTTCAACTCTTTGGTGTGAGTAGGAAGAGAAACTTTAAAATCACTTTATGGCTCAGGAAACCCTAAAAGAAACACAGAGGAAAATATTCTGATAAAGCATTACCATTTCTAGAAAATTCAGACAAACTGCTATGCAACTTACAACTGTTCAACTCAAATGGAGAATGACAACTCATTGCTGCCTGAAAGTACTCAAAATTGAAGCAATGATACCTGATACTTACTGAGAACTCAAAGCCAAGAGTAGTCCACAGCCAAGAAACAGCAGAGCCAGGATCTGAACCCAAGAAATCTGGCCTAGGCATCTACATTTTGACCCCTACGTTATAGTGGTATAGGTTGAAGTATGTCTTCCTGCCAAAATTTGTCAATGTCCCATCAACAGTACTTCAGAATGTAACTTTATTTAGGCATAAAGTCTTCTTAAAGAGGCTATTAAGATAAAATGAAGCCCTTGGTGGAAGAAGATTGATCCAATAGGATTGGAGTCCTTGTAAGAAGAAAAAGTGACACCAGGGACATACATAGATAGCAGAAAACCCATGTGAGAACACAAAGAGAGGCTGCTGTCTCCAAGCCAAGAGGCCTCAGGAAAAGCCAAACCTGCCAACACCTTGACCTTGGACCTCCAACCTCAAGATTTTGAAAACAATCAATTTCTGATGCTTTAGCCTACCAGTGTGTGGCATTTGTTTATGGCAGCCCTAGCAAACTAATACAACTAGCAAAAGTGCCAATCTCCCTTCCAGTTAAGCTGCCAGTTACTGAAGATACTCTATCCAATTAGCAAGCAACACTTCAAGCTGCTGTTTAACACCAAAATCAAGGAAAAGATCACACACATCCCCATTTAATTGCTAATGCCCAGACACTCGTACACTGAGTAATACCTGCTAGTGTTCTTATCAGAAACACCCTTTGTCCTACTTTTATCCAGGGTACTGATAAGGACTTTCTTCCACTAAACTCAACCCTGCCTTTATCTTCCCCAACTTCTGATGAGACACCACACTGACATCTTGTAACTATTGGCCTTAGCCACAGAACAGCTTTTATCTTTCCCTCCTGGACATTGCCCTATAGTTTTACTAAGCACAAATAGGATACTGCTCTACTGAATGCACTTCAAAAATATTCTCATCTGATTGCAAAAACATACTTCGTGGTGAAAGAGTTGGTGGTTTTTCAGGCCATTCCTTGCTCCACACAGGATCCCAAACACTGATTTGCAAAGTGGAGCTGTCATCTGAGGCATTCGAGTACCAGATGATCTAATCCACCCACTACAGAGGCTCAGTGAATTTTTTACTCAAACAGAATGACTTAAAAGAGTATATACTCTTGCCTGATTCTTTCATCTTCTGAGTCATTGTCTTGTCCTTTGTCTTGAGAAGAAATGGACTATGCTACTTCCCCTTAAGGAGGGAACAAAATCAGAGGTGTTTAAATCCACATTTGGGCTTCTGGACTCCTCCCTGATGTTTGGAAACTCATTTTTTTTTCTGGTACTAGGGACTGAACTCAGGACCTTGCTCTTGCCAGGCAGATGCAGTGCCACTGACCTACATCCCCAGCCCTTGGAAACTATTTTTTTTTTTTTGGTACCGGGAATCGAACTCAGGTCCTTGTGCTTGTGCAGCAGGTGGCGAAACCACTGAGCTAAATCCCCGGCCCTGGAAACTATTTTTTAACAGAGGAGTTGTCATGGAGACAATGTGCTAGTCCAAGCTGCCCATGGTGAAAATGGGGGTCCTCCCAGGAGGTCTGGTGATGCTTTGAGGGTGTGGGGGTTGGGATAAGGCTGGGTAAGAGCCTAAGGGATCAGAAGGCTCTCTAGTCACCTGCATTAAATGTGCTTTCAGGACAAATGACTTACCTACAAACATCCCTCCTCTAGTTAGGATGAAAATACAAGCATTTTACATCAAACCCATAGTTTTATTATTCAGTACAGTATGACTTGACTTACTGCACACTTTCTCATACAAAGAACCAAGATTCTGGTGTATTCCAGACCCCGCACTTCATGCACTGACACAGATCTAAGTATTGTAAAACCAACCAGGGTTTATTTAGCCTGCCTTCGAAAAATATACAACTAAAGCCAGGACTCCTGTGGGTCTGGAGCAAGAGTATAAATGAAGGTCTGCCTAATTACTTTAACATGTTAATCAAGCTAGCAAGCTATCACACAATCCTCTTCCTTTAACTAATGTGGCTTTATAATAACCTGGAAGGCCAGATTCAATTCAAAATTCTCAGATTCCTCAGGGTTCTGGGTCAGACATGGAAGAGAAACCTTGGCCGGTGGAGAGTCCCTTCTTCCCCACCTGGGCTCCTTCCGTCTCCAGGAGGCCTCTTGGACACACCTGTGGACCCCCAGGCTACCTTCACAAGCTTCTCCACCACCTCAGCAAACAGTGACCTTGAGAGCAGCACCTTCCAGTAAGGTGGGTGCTGGGATATGCAGGGATCAGTCCTCTCCCTTGGCTCAGACCCTAGCAGCGAGCTTGTGCCCCCTTGGAAAGGGAATTCTGTCCAGGTTTTGGGGGGCAGTATGGACTCTGAATGCTCATTTCCTTGTACTTGGAGATTTCTAGTCCCCCAGGAGGGTACAGCCAGGGGAAGACCAGAGCAGGCCTCTAAACCCAGGAGACAAATGTAAGACGGGTCCTTTGCCCAAGTCTAAGTGCTGCCTTATGCTAACCAAGTCTATCTTTCCTTGAAGTTTTCTGTGAGGGTGACTTAAAGATGAATAAACAAGCAGGTGGTAAGAAGAGAGAATTCTTGCCTGAGCTGACTGAAAGAAATAAGTTGAATTACTTGTGGCTATGTAGGTGGGAAATAAAATCAACAGCTGCTGCTGTCCTGGTGTGAAAGAAGAAAAAAGAAATAGTCCCTCAGCGAATGGACTGAATAGCAGTGTACAGGAGGTGTCTTAACTCCTTTCTATTTCTGAAAGACCTTTCCCGAGACACTAAAAAGCCTGATGAAGACCTAACATAGGCAGCTGGGCCCGCACAGCTGCAGCCTGGGAGCCTGGAGCCCACGCCAAGCCAGGCAAGGGTGCTTTGGTCCGCAGCAGACAGGCCTCACCAGTGGACCTCCGAGGACGGCAGCGGTAGTCCCTGGAGTCAGAAGGGAGACTGAGGGCATGGCCCTCACCCCCACAACTGGCCTGGTATCTGCTTTGCTTGTTCTCAATTAGGACAGTTTGTCAGTTTTCTGAACCTGCATTTTTAATTCTCTAAAGTGGGGATAGGGCCTGCTCGAACCACCAGCTGATGGCCCTAAGAAATCAGCGTGGCACACTGTAAACGCTACGCAATGGCCCCTCATTTAGACCTGAAACCCTGCGGGTGGAGCCACAGCTGAGCCTCAGGCAGGCGTCGGGCAGCTCCCCACTCCTACCCGCCGTCTAAGTTGTGGTTCACCGGAAGCTGTGCGCTGGGGGAAGAAGGGTAGGGGCGCCTTTAGGCAGAGGGGCAAACTGGCCCCGACGTAGGAAAGCAGAAACGTGATCAAGGGCAAAGTCCCAGTTCTTTTTAACGGGGTCGAAAGTTGCCCAAGTAGAGGCGCCAAGGACGGGCCGGCAGCCGCGAGCCCGCGGGGAGGAGGAGAACCGTGCGCTGCGTCCCGCCAGCCTGCAGACTCGGCGCGAGTCTGGGCGAGCGGAGGGGACGCCCGAGCTCTGGCTCTCAGGGAGACAGAGCCACTCACCCAGCAACAGCAGCTTGAGCTCCCGGCGCGCGTCCTTCCTGTCCCGGCGAAGCTGCCGCTCGATCTCGGCGCTGATGCGCTGCGACTCCTTCTCCTCGGCGGACAGGCAGCAGCAGCCGGCCATGGCGAGCAGCGCACCGCCGGCACGGGGTTTGGAGAGGGGCCCGAGTCCTGCGCTTACTCCCTCTGCTGGGGTCAGCTCAGGGGCGGGGGCGAATCCCCAGCGTTTAAGTGCACCCGGGATCCGGGCTCAGGCAGCCCCACAGGAAGGGCGAGCCCAGAGGTTGAGGGCGCTGCTGGCCGGGGAAGCCGCGCGCCCCCTGGCACCGGAGCGGGTACCTAGGAGAACGACGCAGTCCGCGGGGAAAAGTTGGGGCGTCGGTGCCCGGGTGAGAGTAGGCTCTCCCGGGCCTTCGGGGTCACTCAGGCGAGCAGTGAAGTTGCAGGCCCAGGGCCTGGGTGGCTCCTGTCTGGAAAGTTCCGAAAACCCCAGCAGTGACCACAGACTGAGGCGGAGTGGGAAAGTTCCTGCGGTGGCTCTAAGTAGCAGCAGGAGGCGGAGCCTCTCAAACCTTCGACCCTGGCGTCTACCCAAATTGACCCTCGGGCACCCCGAGCCGATGGCTGCTGGGGGTAAAAGGGAACAATCAAGGAGCTGAGGGGCCTCGGCCCTCCCACCTGCCTCCCTGGCTGTGGCTCCCCAGTGCCAGAAGGGCTGCTTGCCAGAGCTGCTGTAAGACCAGCACGTTCTGGCTACCAGGCCCTTTGCCCTGCCAGATCCGGCTTGCGACAGGTGACAGTTTCGCCAGCTCCCAGCCTCAGTGAAGGCGGCCGCGGCAGGCTGTAACAGGAGTGGAGCGAGGCCAAGCGTCCGACTGGGGACCCAAGACGCCAGGAGCTAGGCTGAGGTCTCTGCGTGAACCTGAAGTTGAGGCTTGGACACCACCACGCATAGTCGGAGTTCCTAGACCTGTCCCTTCTGCTTCCTGGCCTCCTAGCCCAGCTCGGGCTTGGTGAAAGCCCTTGGTCAGCTTGGCAGGCCCCCGGCTTTGCGCTGGGAGAGGCAGCTGCCACCGGTTCAGTTCTAAGACAAGTCCAAGAGCGGAGGGTAAATATCCTCCGGTGCTTGCTAAACACCGGATGAGGGGCACTGGGGATGGGGCCAGTGGGAAACAGCAGCTGCTTTGCATTTTATGATGGGAAGGACTTCCGCACTTCCGCTTTGCAGAAAGGGCTGGCAGTCCTCGGCACACCTGGCAAGGTCCCTGCCCCAGCCCGGAAGCTTCATTGGCTCCTAGAACTTCGGGATCATGCTTGAGCAACCTTGATTTAAAAAAAAAAAAAAAAAAAACAGAAAAAATTAAAACCACAGCTTTGCAACTCAAATGGCACAATAGAATGCTGATTCCAATATCTAATTTTTTTTCTCTGCGTACATTTTGAGTAAAAGTAAGGAAAGCAGCCACAGCAAGGAATATTCTTTCCTTCTCAAGTTGGCATATGCTATACACACTTTTTATGGAGTTAGGCAATTAGCTAATGCTTCTGCTGTAAACAGCATAAAGTGCCTTAAGTATGAGGGGCACCTATTTTATCAATTCAAGCGTCTGAGTGGAGTAGTGTGTCTCATTATATAGAGAGCTTGGCATGGTGATGCTATCCAGCAGAAAGGTCTTATTTATTTTACAGCTTAAGAAATGTAGACAAATCAGGCATTAAAAATGAATGTGCACACATTTTTCAATGTTTGACTCTTCAGTTTTGGCCCAGGCACAAACTGACAGTAACAGTGACCCCTGCAGGGAAAGTCCTGGACATTTCTAATTTGATCCTTGGCCATTTGGGTCACCAGTTTCTCACATAGCTCTTCAGATTCATTTACAACTTGAGAATAAAACCTCTTGGTTGGGGCTGGGGATTTAGCTCAGTGGTGCCACCACCTGCCTTGCAAGCACAAGGTCCTGAGTTTGATCCCTGGTACCAAAAAAAAAAAACAACCTCTTGGCTTCTCAAACTAACAGTTGTATGATAATTATCAGAATTTTTAAATTATTAAAACTAGAGTATATTTGAATTCCAAATTAACTGGAATAACTGATCTGTTAGGTCCTAAATTGCTAAGATTTCAAAAATTCTAAAACATAGTTTAAGGCAAATTTCGTTGCCTGGTCAACTTGGTAGCATATATCAGAAGCCTTGAAAGTGTCTAATCAAACCAATAATTCTTCCCATAAGAAATTATCAGGGAGCCGGGATTTAGCTCAGTGGCACTGCACCTGGCTGGTAAGCACAAGGTCCTGAGTTCGATCCCCAGTACTGAAAAGAAATTATCAGGATAAACCCCATGATATATGGCTAAGATTGTATTTCTAATAACAACAAAAAGAAAACACCTCAAAACACTTGAAGTTACAACAACAGGGAATAAGTCTAAAAATTATGATTTATCCATACAATGAGATATTATGTAGTCATTAAATATTGTGACTATGTGAGTGACAAGCACAGTTATGTGCCACATGAAGATATTTTGGTCAATGACATATAGCATATTGCATGATGGTTTCAGAAGATTACGTTCCTGAGTGAGGCATAGCCATCTTAATTTGTATAAATACACTCCATGATATTCCCACATCAACCAAATCGCCTATGTCACATCACTGTGTGTGAGTAACAAAGATTTGGGGAGAATACCTGAAATACATTAAGTGAAAAAAGCAAGATAGGAAAATATAGGCAGTATAATGCACATTTTATTATTATAAGAATGTTGCATTTTTAAGAAAGTACAGGGACTTACACCAAAAAGATAAATTGCTCTCAGTCATAGCTGTCGATTGACTTAATTGTCTAATAGAAAATCATTTGGGGGTAACTCATAGGTTTTAGACCTCACTGAGAGAGATAGACCAGGACAAATTGAGTGTTCATCCAACTCTAGCATTCATTTATTTCTTTGATGATCATCATACTTATCAGAAGATATTAAGAAGAGTCATAAACCTTAAGTTGTTATTAAGCATCACCTGGTGAAAACTATAAAACAGATATGATGAGTCAATTAGTTTTATACTTCTATATATTATTTCTCTTTTCCTTACCTTTAGGATCTAGGAGTAGGATACAAATAATTTTAAGTTATGAATTTATTTGAAACAACATTCCAAGAAGGAGTAGTTTTGAAAAGAGTTCTTCATAAAAGAGAATATTTGTTTTCCTAACTTATTCCAAAATGGTGCAATTCCACTCCCCTGCCCTTGCAGATTAGAGCCCAGACGAGACCTGAGTTCCATCTGCCTGCCAAGTGTGGAGCTACACGAGTGAGTTCATTGGCTGGTATTTGTCTGAACGTTCACTGAGCCTATGCCAGCCCAGATACCAGGCACTGAGGCTTCAGATAGCAAGACAATTCCACAGTTTAGATAGAAAGAGCTGTAATCTGCTACAAAGAATCAAGACAGACCCTGAAATCTAAACCATCCCCTCCTGGTTCCCAGTAAGGGCACAAAGTCACCTAAGGGCTCTCAAGGCTACACACTCAGGCAACAGACATGTCACAGATTCTCCCATCTGCTCAGCCTCATCATCACCCCCTGGAGCTCCAGACAGTGTGCCTTCTCCCCCCACAGTGCCCAGTGCATGTTGTTCCCTCTTCCAGGAGGCCATCCCTCACCCCAGACAAAGTTAGGTCCTTTCTTTTCCTACCACATCTTTTCTGAGAAACCATCTCATCTCTTCTGGGACCTATCTTTCTCTGCTGCCTGGACACCTCCTGTGTTCCTCCCTTTAAACTCTCACCCTATTACACTCTTTTCTTTCAATTCATGTATTACTCACAGGTAGAGGTTTTCTTGTGTGTGCTGCTGTCTTTAGGTTAGCACATGTTAGGGAGTTGAATAAAAAAAAACACAAGAGGAATTCATTTGAGATTAAAGAGAAGAAGTTTCTCATGGTAGAAGACAGCAAAAAACGAATAAGCAGCAAATGAATACATGATTTAGGAAGCGTGTATGAGTTGCCCTCATAGAGACAATGACTGCCCTGTGTCTAAGTCTGAATTCAGAGGGGGTGCAGAGCAGAGGGCTAGAAAGATACTGCACTCTTTTACAAATGTATCAACTTAGACTGTTAACAAGTAACAGAGTACCTATGCAACCCTGGAGATTTTCACAATGCTAAAATAGTGCTATCACCTCTGCTGCTCTATGTCAGTCAGCATTTTCCAAACTACATTTGTGACTCATTGTTGGGTTATGACCAGGATTTTTTAAAGAAAATAAAATATATAGAAAATATCAAAGAATTTTTATGCATTATTGTGTCATAAAACTTACTTCTACATATAAGTATCAATTGTCAGTGGGGCTTTGTTTGTCCATATCCCAAATAGGTTGTCTTATTGGGTAGCTTCTTTTAAAAATGGCTTGCCAATTAAACATTACCAAGTTCTCATCTCAAACAAAAAACTGAACAGAACAAACCAAAAATGGTGCCAAAGTTTATTTTAAAAAGTGAAGGTAGACGGTAAGGGAGAAACTGGCTCTGCAGAGAAAATTTAAACTGAACAAAGGAGAGGACAAATTAAACACAAAAATAAAAGTATACCTTAGGGGACACAGGGCAGGATATCGTGAAGAGACACAATAGCTAGCTCTTCATGACGTCTGCGTCCTTTGGTGCCATTCCATCTCATGGGAACCTGTGAGAACTTCTACATATGGGGTCCTGAGATTTAATTGGCCCATGTATCCTGGAATCTGGTCATACTTCCTCAACCAGCCTTGCCACACCCAGATTTTCGTTCAATTTTCTGAGTCTAACATATTCTCTTAAATTACTTAGATCCTCTCCTATTTCATGTGTAGCTGTTTCCCATCATTTCTGGCTTGGTAGGGAGAGCCAATGGACTAATAATGGATATTTAGATGAATGAGTAATAATTGTGGTGATGGCTGTTTATACTCAATATCTGTTTTCCTGAGGCAATCAACATGTCAACATGTTGCTCCAAAATATTCCCTGCCTGAAGCCCAGAAACTGTTTATTGTATAACTTCCACTGGAAAGACTAGAATTGGAGACAATGAAGTCTGCCCTCAAATACACATGACTGTGAGTAGGGAGGAATTGCTATTGTTTGCTTTTGAGCCTGACTTCTCATGAGAATTGAGGATCTCAATAATTTAAGAAACAGAAATCTTTGAGGTGAGAAGTTTGAAGATGTTTATTTTGCTTGTCCTCTTTTCATTTGTGCTGAAGTTTCCCACTCTACTTATATCATTCTCCTCATGAAGAAATCAATGTTGACAATTAGTACGTATGTACTCCTCTCTACTTTTTTATGCTTTTATAATCATATAGAAGAATGAATAGGAAATCCTTATTTTGTTTTCTCACTCAAGAACACGTTTTTGGAATCTTTTAAAGTAAACTTGTTTACCTCTGATTCTTTTCTTTTAATGGCTGCATAATATTCCATGATGTGAAAAAATTTTATATTA